ATTGGGTGCGTATATGTCTAGGAGTGTGATTTCTTCCTGGTTTACATATACCTTGATTATTAAAAAATAGCTTTTGCTGTCCCTTTTAATGCTTTTAGGCTTGAAATCTATGTTGGCAGATACTGGTGTGGCCATCCCGGCTCTTTTGAGGGAGTTGTTTGTTTGAAGGTTTGTTTTCCATCCTTTGATTTTGAGTCTGTGTTGCTCTGACTGTTCAAATGTGTTTCTTGTAGGTGGCAGAATGTTGGATTTATGTTTTAAATTCATTTTACCACTCTGAGTCTCTTAATTGGTGCATTTAGACCATTGATATTGAGAAAGATTATTGTCATGGGGTTTTGTGCCATCTTTAGAGATTTGTAGTGCTTGTAGGGGTTTGTCTTGTCTTACAAGCCCCTTTAGTCCTTCTTTTAAGGTTGGTTTTGAGTCTATTAAGTTCCTGAGCTGTTGTTTATCCAGTTTATTATTTCTTCGAGTTTGAGTGAGAGTTTAGTTCAATAAAGTATTCTTTGTGCAGCATTAATTTCATTGAGTTTTTTCACTATATACCACCATTGTCTTCAGGCTCAGACGGTTTCATCTGATAATTCTGCTGTAAATCTAAGGAATGCTCCTTTTTATGTGATTTCCTTCTTTGACCTTGCTGCTTGCAGTATTGTGTCTCTATCTGTGGTATCCATGATTCTGATTATGATATGTCTTGGAGTCTTTTTATTAAGGTCTCTTTTAGCTGGCACCCTTCTTGCTCCTTGGATGTGAAGGCCTGCATTCTCCAGCTCTGGGAACTGCATTCTCCAGATCTCAGCAATGATATCCTTAACCGTTGCTATTTCACTGGAGTTGCCTTCCTATCCTTCTGGTACTCCGATGATTATTATGTTGTTCCTCTTGAATTCATCCTCAACGTCTTTCATTTGCCCAAACGCTATTTTGAGGTCTTTTTTCCAGTATTTGTTGTTTCCTGTATGCTTTCTGCAGCTCATCTTCAAGCTCACTGATTCTGTCTTCAGTTGCTGTCATTCTAACTGTTGAGGATGGCCATTGAGTTTTTAATTTCATCTACTGAATCATTTACCAGTGACACTTCTATTTGTAGCTTTCTTATTTCTGCTCTCATTCTTTCCTGTATTTTCTTGGCTCTTCATTCCACTGTTTGTTTCATGTCCTCCTTTAACTTACTGAATGCCTGTCCCACTGTTTCTTTGAGCTCATTGAACATCCTCAATATTTCATCTCTGAATTCTTTATCGCAGAGATTGTATTTGTGGATATTCCCTGTAGAGACTTCAGGGCTCTTTCCTTCATCTATTCCTTGTGGTGAGGATCTGTGCTATTTCTTCATATTGCTGTGATAGTATGGAGATGAATCCCTCCTGTTCATTATCACTGACTCCCTCTTGCTGTAAGGGAGGATTCTAGATGGGCTTGGTCACTAGTGGTGTTCTTTTTCCCCCTTTAAGAATACTCCCTCTAGGCCGTCTGGCTACTCAACAAGATGCTTCTGTCATAATCTCAGAGACTCAGAAACAAATCTCAGAAACCAGCGGCTTTGGGCAGAAATGTGTCCAGACTCAGCATTAGGCTACCAGCCCTAGGCCACCCCAAGTGGGAATAGGTTTCGTGCCTTGGCCTGTTCCCCCTGAAGACCTGGAGTCCGCCATCTTCCAGAGGCCTATGGGCAGTCAGATAGGGGCCTGCAGTGATGAGATACATGGGGCCTATTGGGATGGGAGCGGTGCCTGCCCTTCCCTCCCCACCCCAATGAGACCCCAGTCACCGCCCACAAATGGGCCCTCTGGCTACTCAACAAGCTGCTACAGTCATGATATCAGAGACTCAGAAACAAATCTTGGAAACCAATGGCGTTTGGCAGAAATTCCTCCAGATTTAATTATTAAGATTTCAGAATTCCAAAATCGTGTGGCCACTACTGTGGCCGCACAATCTCATATGCTATTCATTATCAGCAATAGAAAACAAATTGTCTATTGTTGCCTTTTCAGCAGATGTGAGTGTTGGGGTAAAATCCCAAATAATAACGGTTGGTCTGGTGTCAAAATATTGAAAGTAATCAAATTAGAGAGTAATGTGGAAACCATCTGCCACACAGGTAGGGGGAAGGTGTGGGCTGAAGGGTATACTGGGGTCTTTGGTGGTGGTAAATGTGCACTGGTGAAGGGACGGGTGTTTCATTATTTTATGACTGAGACTTAAACCCAAAAGCTTTGTAACTGCTCTTATGGTAATTCAATAAATAGTAAGTAAAAGTAAGTAAAGGCCCTCCCGTTGATCATCAATTTGCTCGAGCTGCTCGAGCGGGCCCAGTAACGTCTCCATTGGAGACTTTGTTGTTACTGTGTTTGGCATATCGAATACGTCACGGGGAACTTGCCAGGCTCTGCCATGCGGGCGAGATACTCTCGGTAGCTTGCTGGGCTCTCCGACAGGGGCGGAGAAATCGAACTCAGGTCGGCCATGTTGGCTGCATGCAAGGCAAACGCCCTACCGCTGTGCTATTGCTCCAGGCCGAGTGGTCTAAGGCGCCAGACTCAATTCAATAAATAAATTTATATATATATAAAAAGAATACCCCTGCCCCTCTCAGAGAGCCTGGCAAGCTACTGAGAGTATCTCACCCACATGGCAAAGCCTGGCAAGATAACCATGGTGTATTCGATATGCCAAACACAGTAACAACAAGTCTCACAATGGAGACGTTACTAGGCCCGCTCGAGCAAATTAATGAACAATGGGAGGACAGTGACAGTAACAGAGACTCCCTCTTTGGTGCTCCTCTGTGCCTTATGTTGGGCCACTAGTGACGCTTTAGGGAATGTGTTCTGTTACATTAGGCTTATTCAGGTTCTTGTATTCACCATTATTTTGGTGAGTTTTGGGAGTATTTTGATTAGAATAGGCTAGTGGACTATTGGCCTAATGTGTTTGGGATAGCCAGGCTGTCTTCATCAGAAATAGGTAATGGAGGCTGAGATGTGAGTCCAAAGCGCTGGGAAAGGGAAAAATAACTGCAGCTGCCCTTGAGGCCAGGCCTACTGTGGGGGGAGGGGCCACTTTGGTGCCCCCTGGGGCTTGCAGTTCACTTCTGAAGCACTCCTAAGACTTGCAGAAATCCCCTTTGACCAGAAACTCAGAGGGCACCTTGTTTTTTTTTCCTTTTTGGGTTACACCCAGTGATGCACAGGGATTACTCCTGGCTCTGCACTCAGGAATCACTCCTGGCGGTGCTCAGGAGACCATCTAAGATGCTGGGAATTGAACCTGGGTCTGCCGTTTGCAAGGCAAACACCTTACCCGCTGTACTATCGCTTCAGCCCATGCTTTAAATTCTTGAGTTTTGTTCTGGAACACCAAAATTCACTGGAAACAATTTGATCTTTCAATTTGATCTGGCTTTCCCCCCTCTTCCTCCCCCACCCCACCCCCCCGCTCCAAGGTCTGGCTTTAAAAGTATGATAGAATAGGAAGAGTGTTGTACCCAGAGATAATTTTTCTCCAATTCTGACACAAGAGCTTTCTGTGTACCCTATTCAGTGTTCATGAGTCTTGAAGTTTTCCATTCTGGCCTCATTTTTATCCTTAAATCCATTTCTTACCTTTTCCCTTTACTACTTTCTTCCAAGAAATTTAGGTCCTAGGCCATTAAGATTTTTTTTCACACTTTCTTCTCAAATCATATCAACATTTTTTCTGTTTTTTTTCTAAAAACTAACATATTTAGAACTGAAAATGACGATTGCTTGTTTTTTATTATCCCTTACTGATGATGTTTGATTGAGCCCACAGATTTTATATTGCTGATTTTTCCCTTAGGAAAATTGGACATGGTATGTAAAATTTATTTGAACCAGAGTCAGAGTGAGGTATACTGATACGAAGTATATAATAAAATACTGTATGAAAGTGTATATAAAGAACTCTAATTTAAATATTTTATAATTAAAAATACTTCTGGTTTTATTTCACTGGATAACTTAAACACTTGAAATTTGTATAATAACTCTACCTATTCAAATTTTGTGCACTTATACTTTGTTTTAAAATATTATCTAATACAATTTTATAGTCATTTAAAGTTAGATAAAAGTGAAATTTTACATTTCCAGTGACAATTTTTTTTAATGTTTGAAATTTTAAGCACCATATTTTACAAAGCTATTTATAATACAGTCATGTAAGGCATTCAATACTCCAGCTCTAGTCCCAACACCAGTGTGGCATTTCCTCCACCAATGTCCCTATGTGCCCATCCACCTCCTAGCTTGTCCCCTTATAAGGAACAACATAATTTAATTTACATTTATTACAACAAATTATCTAACAAATTATCTCATAAAGGTGTTAATAAAATCATTGTCTGAGCATTTACTGAGCTGTTAGGTGCTAGCTGAGGCTTCTGTGCTGTTGATTCCACTCATTGAGCTTAGCAGACTTCTCAACTCGCCCATCTAATTTTCTGTGTCGCTACTGGGCTGTCAGTACTGTGCAATTTGGAGATATTGCATGGTCACTTGCTTCAGGAGCTGTGGAACTGGGATGATTCAGCAGCATGGCTTCTCAGCTGGGCCATTTATATGCTGATTGAAGTGGGTGTGGATAGAGCACTGGGCCTTCCAACAGGGCAGGTACTTAGTCTCCCCATCCCAAGAAGGCTCCAGAGATCTGGGCCTGGAGACTGATCTACTTGGTTCAGTTCAGATACAGCATCTTTCCAAGCATCTTTTGTTTTTATTCTTGTGCCACACCTGCAATTTCAGGGTTTACTCCTGACTCTGCACTCAGGGATCACTCCTGGCAACACTTGGTGACCATATGGGATGTCAGGAACTGAACCTGGGTTGATCATGTGCAAGGCAAGTGCCCTGCCCACTGTATTATCATGCTGGCACCCAGGAAAGCATCTTAGTTTGCTATTATTGCAGCTATACCTCACAGTGTCGTATTTTGAATTATCTTAACTTTTTTGCTTTCTTTTCTTTTAGGTATTTTGGTTTCAATGTGCATGTGCTTTGATTGACTCATTAATTCTCTTCTGGTTTCCCACAAAAACAATGGAGTATGGTAATGACTTAACTGTTTCAAATATTCAGAAAAGTGTATGCTATTTTCACATATATCAATGTATCTATGTGTGTGTTTATAAAAAGAACAGGATACAAGAAAATTTAGAAAAATAATGTAATCACATAAATCTAATATTAGATACTCGATGTTAACATGAAGTTTTTTTCCAAAACTGATTTGGGTCTAATACGTCCAGAAGTAGAAAATATATTTATGAAGTATTTTATATTGTAATGGATTACTTTATAAAACATAATCATTTTTCTGTAACTCCATTTAATGTTTATCTGATATTAAAGAAGAATATTATTGAACATATTTAAAAAAATAGGTGAGTCGTATGTTTATTTTATTTAAAAGACTGAATTAGTCATGGCAGTCTTCCTTCTAAAAAAATGAACAATATTTTCTTTATTAAAATGTTAGTAACTTTTAAAAAATTTTATTTTTATAAAGTTGTTCATGATGATTTATTACATTCAGTATTCCAACAACAATCCCACTACCATTATAACTTTCCACCCTATTATTTTCAATTTTCCCAACCACCACCCACGCCTGTCCCAATAGGAGACCCTAAATAATTTATTTTATATTTCTATATTCACTAAAAATGATCATGTTTTCTCTTTTCAGGTATAGTCTTACCCGGTGGTTATTCAGCAGGCTATTTATTTCTTGGAAATACCATTTATACGGTAAGATCACCTTTGTAAATTATGAAACATTGTAGACATGATGTTATCTAACTGGAATACATACTACATTAATAGACTAGAAGACTCAATATATACAGAAGTCAACTCTTTCTAATTTATAACTTTATTAAAATAATAAAAAGCCCATTAATTTAAGTCATTTCTAAAATATTTATATCGAATTTCAGAAGACCCAAGAATAGCTAAGTTGCCCCTTTGATTTATTATTTCAATATAGCTTGTTAAACTGTTTTATTTATTTATTTTGTTTTGTTTTCTTTTAAAATCCAGAGGCAAAGTCAATAGTAAAGTGTTTAGGGTATTTGCCGACACTCAGATTCCATTCCCAGCATTCCATATAGTCCCCCAAGTGCTGACAGGAATTATTCCTGAGTGCAGAGCCAGTAGAAAATCCTGGGCAACACTGGATGTGACCATCTCCTGGAAAAATTAAAACCAGAGGCACTTGGAGTTCTAATTAGAGTAAAATCTTCCATGATATCTGTAAATAATATAAATATCAGTGCCAATGACATGGATTTTCACTATTACCAATGGCTTCCTCCGCCCCTCTCGGAGAGCCCGGCAAGCTACAGAGAGTATCTTGCCCGCACGGCAGAGCCTGGCAAGCTCCCCGTGACGTATTCGATATGCCAGACACAGTAACAACGATGTCTCCAATGGAGACGTTACTGGGCCCGCTCGAGCAAATCCTAAACATAAACAAATTTTTATTGCAATGAACAATATTCCCCCCACAATGAAAATCTAAGAAAATGTTTACCAACGAGAGTTCCCAGACATGGAGGAGAATGGGGATGAGGGAAGGGATTTGGGTGGGATAGGGTGAAATGTTGTGAATCCTAATGGCAATTGTTTGATTTATTTTTCTAATCGCTTTCTTCCCAGTATGTAGTTATTACTGTTTGTCTAAAAGCTGGTCTAGACACACTGTCTTGGAATAAAGTGAGTACTCTTCAGATTTTTCTCTGTCCAGTCTAGTTATTTGCATGCTGATTTATAATTTTAACTTTAGAGGAGTAACAAGTATATTTATGATATCTATATTTTACTTTCTTTTGTTTTGCATATTGAAAAAATGCTTTAAACTAGTTGAAGATATAGAATCAATCCACTGTTTTTAGAATACTCATCTTCCTCCCATATATTTTAAATAGATTCAATTTATCTTGATATTAAATGAAACAACTCAATATTTTAATCAAAATATAGAATTAAAAATTAGCAAATATAGAATGAGAAAAATACATTTCTCATATCATTCAATGGCAATTATACTGCCATTTTTCAAGATTTTATTATTGAATATGAGATAGATCTTTACAAAGCTATTCATAATTTGGTTTCAGTCATACAGTGTTCCAACCTGCATGACTGAAATTCTTCCACCAGTGTACATTTCCCAGCATTTTTCTTTTCTCTCTTTCATTTCACTTTCTCTCTCTCTCTTTCCTTTTGGGCATTGTGATTTTCAGTACAGATATTGAAAGGTTATCTGGTATATCCCTTTGCCTACTTTTTACACTCAGTACTTGTCCAGCATGATCATTCCTAGCTGTCACTGCCATGGCCCCTTCTCCATCTTACACACTTGTGACTGATTCCAACCACTGACCAGTCCTCCTAGAGGACTGTTTTCCCTGGCTGTGGATATGTCATATATATATATATATATATATATATATATACATATATGTACCACAGATGATATGTCTCCTAATATATTTTTAATATACCACAAATCATTCTATGTCTGTCCCTTTCTTTCATACTCATTTCACTCAGCATGATATTCTCCAAGTTCATCCATTTGTAGTCACTGTCACTATCACTGTCCTCCCGTTGTTCATCATTTTGCTCGAGCGGGCTGGTAACATTGTGAGACTTGTTGTTACTGTGCTTGGCATATCGAATACAACCTGGGTAGCTTGCCAGGCTTTGCCGTGCAGGCAAGATACTCTTGGTAGCTTGCCGGGCTCTCTGAGAGGGGAGAAGTTGAACTAGGGTTAGCCGTGTCAGTCACGTACAAACCCTACCCTCTGTGCTATTGCTCCAGCCCCCATTTATAGTATACTGCCATTTTTATTTCTTTAATTTATTGTTTTACAAAAATATGGTCATAATGTACCTAAATTATTAAATAATTTAAATAAAATAATTAAAATAAATTGCTTAACATTTTAAATTTTTTTCTATGTACTTAATTTTTATACCTTATTTACTATATAATATTTCATCATCTAGACACTTATTATTTTTGTTTATTATTTGTAGAATAATTAGTTTTTGTAACTTTAAGCACTATAATCAATACTATTTTAAGCACACATAGCACTGTAGTACTGTCCTCCTGTTGTTCATCGATTTGCTCGAGCAGGCACCAGTAATGTCTCCATTGTGAAACTTGTTGTTATTGTTTTTGGCAAATCAAATATGCCACGAGGAGTTTGCCAGGCTCTGCCATGCAGGGAGGATACTCTTGGTAGATTGCCGGGCTCTTCGAGAGGGACAGAGAAATCGAACCCAGGTTGGCCGCGTGTAAAGCAAATGACCTACCCATTGCGCTTTCGCTTCACCCCACGTAAACTGTGTATTTACAGATATAGATATTACATTTCTTAAAATATTATTAAAAGTGGAACTTCCATAAATAAACTTGTTTTCCAACTTCAAATGAAAAGGTTTAGGAGAAAAAATGAATTTTTATTAAGTTTGTCAGTTTTTAAGAGCTAAGATTATGTCATGTTGACTTTCAATAACGTACACCTAAAATTTTTATTAAATGCAATGTCATTTTAATTTTAAAATAAAAAATCAGAATTAAAGATAAAAATGCACCAATAGAAAAACATTTAAGCTAGAATAAGAAGTTGTAGACAAAGGATTTATTAGCAATTCCTAAGGCATCCAAGTAATTATGTGTAGTTTCTCACATTAATGTAATATAAATATAGAACAATTATTTCCTATTTCTAATTTTTAATTATTATCATATTCTTTCCAGCAATAGTATATTTTTGTAGTTCTGGGGTTAAATCCAGAGGTGCTCAGGGGTTACTCCTGGCTCTGCACTCAGTCATAACTCCTGGTGGTGCTCAGGAGACCATATGGAATGCCGGGGATCAAACATAGGTCAACCACATTCAAAACAAGCACCCTAGTCACTAAATTATCACTTCGACCCATAAAAGTGTATTTAAAGAATTAGATTTCTTAGTGGACAGGAGCACATGCATTACATCCAGAAGACTCATTCAGTCCCAGGAACCTCATGGCGCCCAGAGTACTGCCAGTAGTGACCCCCCAGCACTGATCCAGGAATAACCCCTGAGCACTGGGTGTGGATCAAAACCAAACCAAAACAGGGTATCTTAGTTCCAAATTTATTCATACTATCAGCAGCAATGAAACTAATTTATAACTAAGTCGTGAGTTCACAGATAGAGCAGATATAGCAAAATGCAGAGATGTTGCTTCTGGTCTAAAAGGTAGACCAAGCTCTTGTTCTCCAACAAGAAAGGGTTTAAGAAGGAGCTTGAGATCTGGATCAGGAGAGAGGGGACTGGTTCTTGCTTTTGTTTCTCTGTCTCATAGCAAGGGCAGGGAAAGGGCCCAGTGCTGCTTCAGTGCAGCTTGTAAAAGGGCAAGAAGATTGTGCTGGAGAATAACCAGTTTCAGTACAAAGCCTGAACTAGGAAAGAGACAGGGTAACAAAATATCTTTCACAGTAGGAATAATGAGTTTGCGTCATTTCCAACAAAGACACACAAAAAAACACACAAAAAAACCCTCTTAGGGACTGAAGAGATAATTCACTGAACCCTAGCATGTGTTTTGTATGCAAGAGTTTCAGGTTTGAACCCTGGCACTGCAGACCACCCCCTCCACAACAGTTCTGCTGGGAGCAATCCCTGAGCAAATGAATCAGGAGTAACCCCTGAGCACCACTGCCCTACCTCCCGTCCCCCACCCCCCCCACCCCCCGCCACTCACCACAAACACAAAACCAAAGACTGAAGTGTTTCTATGATATTTTTCTTTCTGCAGTTTACTCATTTCGCAATTTGGGGAAGCATACTACTTTGGTTTGTGTTTTTTGTAATTTACTCTTTTTTCTGGTCCAACATTCCTCTTGCTCCTGATATGACAAGACAGGTTAGTTTTGCTGTCATTGGTGAGTATACATTTCTCATGAAAACTTATATTCATTAACAATAAAGCTGATGTTACTTACTTTCAAAAATCTTGGATAAGAAATAAAAACCAACTCTATTAGAAATAATTGGTGATGCAACTAACTTCTAATCAAACTGTTTGTGCTACCAATTCTTTCCAAATGTTTTTTTTTCTGTACACAACTTATAAAACTTAAAATAATTTATAAAGTATCTAAAATAGTTAATATTATAATTGCATTTTATGCAATGTATTCTGCCTAAATTGTTTGGAACTTAATAACACATGTATTAATAAAGAAAAAAATTGTATCCAAATTGTGTAGCCAAAATACACAATCCTTGAACTTCCAGAATCTTTAGCTTCTAAAGTATTTTAAAATTGCATGAAAGCTGTTGTTTTCTCTGTTAAATCTCAGAAACTATATATATTTTTCTTATTCACATACTTGCATGTTCTACTTCTTTCTAAATCTATTATGGGAGATTAAGCCTGAAAATGCTTATCATATGTATCACAGAGTTACACTTTTGAGTACTTGAGATAAACTTGGTCCAAACCCAATTTTTACCAAAGGAAGAAATCAAGTCCAGAATTGCTCAGCATAGTTTGTAGAAGACAACTGGGCGATCTTTAGCAAGCAGCCTGCTCATTAGTCTTCAGTTAATTAAGAAATTTCAGGGATAGTCTAAGGTAGAAACTGAAACTAATTAGAAAAGAACTTCCCAATCCTTAGAAAAGTACTGAGGAGATTCAGAAGACAAATATTAAGGTTTGGTACTGGACAGGAAATGGCCTCAAAGAAACCCTGGGCACTCAGTTCCAAAATCATTCTACTGAAGTTGGAGAGCTAATATAACAGGTAGGGCATTTGCCTTGCATGTGATCCCCCAGATTCAATCCCTGGTATCCCATCTGGTCTCCTGAGACCCATACCCGATATCCCATATGATCAAGGGTAATTCCTGTGTGCAGAGCCAAATAGTTCTCTGAGTATTGCTGCTGGGTGTGACCCCAAAACAAAAAGCAAATAGATAAATTTTTAAATCACCCCAGAGAATCAACAGCAAATTATTTATTTTTATAAAGTTGTTCACAATATTTGATTACATTTAATATTTGAACACCAATTCCACCACCATTACTACTTTTCACCACCATATTTCCATCCCGAATCCCAAACTCTGCTCCCAAAGCAGAACAGAAATAGTTTATGTTTTATTGCTTGTTATGAATAATCTGCTAAAAATGAGACAGAAAAGTTTTCTTAGAGGAAAGTGTGTGACGATTGTTGTATTTCACCCAGGACCCATTAAGCCCTTCTAAAAGAGATTAGTAAAATGTTGTTAAAGGTTGAGACTTGTGTGCTTATACCTATATCTGTATAAATATATTTCTCCCTAAGATTGGTTGCCTTCTAGTTTAAACCCAAGCAAATATGTGGTGTGCTACTCTTGGTATATTGGCGCGGTCCAGGAATACATTCACTCATGGGTAAGGCTCATCTGAGTGTGTGGAGAGAGGACGTGAGCATGGCGGTGGTTGAGTTCTGGACGTTTTCGATTGCTGGAACTGGCTCCATTGGTTCAGAGCAGGGCCTCCCCTGCCTCCCTCCAGCCAACAGCAACCTAAAAGTTGAAACCTGTTTCATATTCTTTCTGAAGTCAGGTGCCTCTATATTGGAGGCAGAAGAGAGGCTAAGGAATACAGTTTATAGTATATTTGACATACAACTTTGTGTAAGTTTTGTGTTAAATTGATGCATATTGTGAAATGATTTCCCCAATAAGGTTAGTTAGCAAATCTATTACTCCCACATACTCTCTACTATGCTAAGAACAGTGAAGGTAATTATTCTTGCAAATTTCAAGTGTACAGTATAGTTCTAAGGAGCTCTTATGCTCAATGTTAGGTCTCAGAATTTACTCGATGGACAACTGGAAGTTTGTGTCTCTGAAATTTTTCTTCCCATTTGCCTATTCCACACCAATTTATATGAAAATTTATCATGGGGAATCATATTTCAAGTTCTCAAATTACAATAGTAATTTGAGTTTATATCAGTTTAACTTCAGTGGCATACAAAAATTTCTACTCCTTTACAGAGTCTTATTGTTGGTATCAAAAATTGCATCTTCACACATTGTATGCTCAGAAATATTAGCTTATGTTTCTTTTAAATAAACATTGTCTCTAAATTGTATAGAAAACAAATGTGGAATTAGAAGTCAAAGGTACAATAGAACAATATTACTAGCCTTTATATTAACAATTGGCAGGGCTCTAAAGAATTTCCTGTAGGGCAAGTCTAGTGGCTAGACACTTCCTCAATTTTTATCTGTTTTCTTTGATAGAACTTTGCTTTTAGCTCTTTGAATTTAGTCCACTATTTTCTAGCCTCCAGTGTCTCAGATGGGAAACTTGCTTGTGAATCTTATTAAAGGCTATTCAATAAGAAATAATTAAATAATGTTTCTCTCTGCTTCTTTTTTTACAATAGACCTTATTTATTTATTTTTCAGAGTGTGTTTTTTCACACCTGGCAGTGCTTAGAGATTACAGGAATCACTTCTGGTGGTTCTCAGGGGACCATATGGGATGCTGGGATCAAACTCCAGTGAGCTGCATGCAAGGCAAATGTCCTACCTCTGTACCATTACTACAGCCCTTTTTCTCTGATTCTTTTGAAATTCTTGTTGACTTTTTAAAATTTTGTCATCATGAATTACGAGTTATTAAAGACTGGGTTTCAGACATACAATGTTCCAACACCCAATCCCTTCACCAGTATCAACTTCCCTCCACAAATGTTGCCCTCCCACCCACCAGCCTACCTTTGTGACAGGAACTTAAAAATAATTTTTATGGTGAAAAGATTGTATTTAGGATTAGCCAGCTGGACTGTTTAGATGATCCCAAGTTTGTTGGCAACATCCAAGGTGTCATAATCAGGAGCCAGTCGAACATACGCCTTTTTCTCTCCATCAGGCCTAATCAGGAACCTTGGCTACACCAATGTGATAGAGCTTCTTCACAGCCTGTTTAATTTGGTGTTTGTTGGCCTTGGTATCCACAATAAACATAAGTGTATTGGGTTGCCTTCTCAGCCACAGTGTTTTGGGTCTTCTGAAGGTGGTTGACTTGCAAATCTTTTTCTTTTTCTGGCTATGAACGTCTTTCAGCACTGCTTTCTTGGCCTTCAAAGCTTTGGCTTTGGCTTCAACCTTGTGAGGAGGAGGGGTTTCCTTCTTGGCGTTCAGCACCATCTTCGTAAAAAGGGTTTCTTATGGCTGTTCCCCAAAAATAATTTTTTTAAATAGAGTTTAGGCACTGTGGTTTTGAATACTATCACTGATAGTGTTTCATGCATAACATTTTACTGTCTTTGAGCTCCTTCTCCTGAATGATCACTTCCCTCCATAATTTTCCTCATACTTAGTTTCCTGTCCTAACCCCTTACCCTACCCCTCCGAGTGATAAGCTTCTTACTAAAAACCAGTCCTCATGTTCTTTATTTGGTATTTACTTTTCTCTTCCCCTACTATGCTTTTTAATAGCCCACATATGAGAGAGATCATTCTGTGTTGGTCTCTCTCCCTATGGTCAAAAGGCATATGAAAAAAATTGCTTTTCACCACTAATCAAGGAAATGCAAATCAAAGCAATAGGGAGATATTACCTCACACTAGAGAAACTGGTACACATTAAAAAAAGCAAAAACAACCAATGTTGGTATGGATGTTGGGTAAAAGGGACCCTCATTTACTGCTGGTGGGAATGTAGACTAGCCTATCCTTATAAAAGTAATGTGGAAACTCCTCAAAACAGGAATTGACACCATATGACCCAGCAATTCCACTTCTTGGAATATATCCCAAAGGTCCCAAATCACTATGCAGAACAAAACATTTACACTCCTATGTTCATTGCAACACTTTTCACCGTAGCCAAAACCTAGAACCAACCCAAGTGTCCAAGAACAGATTACTGGGTAAAGAAACTATGGTATCTATACATGATGGAATATTACTCAGTCATAAAACAGATGAAATCATGCGATTTGCTGTTCTGAGAATGGATCTGGATAGTACCGTGCTGAGTGAAGTTAATTGGAAAGAGAGGGACAGACACAGAATGATGTCTCATTGACTTTTGGAAATTTTATGATAATGGATCTCAACATGGGTCTTTAGCCACTTGGAAGTTTACTGAGTTTTCAGATGAGAGCGGGTGCATTCATGCTGGTATGGCCATAGACTACAATGAGTATTCAAAATGATCATGCCTTTTATAGCAGCTAGGAATTATTGAGCCATTGTCACTTTATGTCATGTTGTCACTTTATATGACCTGCTCCCTCATCTCTCTTCTTTGTCTGCTTGCTTTAGGCCATGCCAAACGTGTGTGTGTTGGTCAGCTCATTGGTATCCTGTAGGACATAAAATCTCTGCTTTTAGTCTTGTAAACATGTTTTGTTGTTGTTGTTTGTTTGTTTTTATGTTCCTCAGTTATTTCTATCTTCAAATTTGCTGTTATGTAGGTGGATCTGGGTGATCTATTGATTGCTGAAAGAAAAATATTAAAAATATTAGAAAAATATTAAAGTTCTCTACTAGTATTGCATTGTTGAGAATTTATTCCTTCAGTTTTGTTAATACTTCATTTAAAATTTAGGTGCCCCAGGGTCTGGAGTATAGTACAGATGGTAGTGCACTTGCCTTGCACACAGCTGAGCTAGGTTCAATCCCCAGTACCACATATGGTTCCTCAAGGCTTGCCAGGAGTGATCGCAGAGCAAAGAGCCAGAAGTGAGCCCTGACACTGTTTGGCATGGCCTAAATCAAGCAAACAAAAGTAGATGCTTTAAAGTTAAGTGCAATATTAACTTGATTAAATGACCCTTCAACACATCATACCATGACTTTCCTTGCCTTGCCTGACAAATTTTCACTGAATGTCTAATTTGTCTACATATAGGCATTCCTGCTTTTTTTTTTATGTAGGAGTACTGCTATTTATTCAGTCACTGATTAGCTGATTGAATTGGGCATGAACTCCACATTACTTTTTTTCCCCATTTTTTATAATTTTATTTTTGTATCACCGTGAGAGTAGTTACAAAGCTCTCGGGTTTAAGTCCTGGTCATATGATGAAACACCTCTACCTTCACCAGTGCCCATTCTCCACCCCCAAAACCCCAGTATACTCGCATCCCCCACACTCCCCCTACCTGTCGGGCAGATCATTTCCACATTACTCTCTTTCTACTTTGAATTTGTTTTCACTTCTGGTTATGAATAACATATGATATCGTGTGGCTGCAGTGGTGGCTGTGAGATTTTGAAATTCCAACTTTAACAATTAAATCTGAAGATATTTCTGCCACAACCTGCTGGGTTTCGAGATTTGTTCCTGAGTTTCTTGGATCGTAGCCGTCAAGCAGTTTGAACAGGAGCCAGTGAGACTGTTGGTGGGCAGCAACTCGGGGTCTCATTGGGACGGGGAGGAAAGGGCCAGTTCCACTCGCATCCGTGAGGCCCTGCGTGTTTTGTCACTGTGAGCCCAAACCTGACTGTCCAGTGGCCTCTGGAGGATGACGGCCACAGGGCCACCAGGAGGAACAGGCCAAGGCACGCAACCTATTCCCACCTGGGGGGCCCAGCCCCTCAACCCACTGGAGGGACTGAAAACATTTCTGACAAAAGCTGTTGGGTTTCAAAATTTGTTTCTGAGTCTCTGGGATCATGGCCATTAAGCAGTTCAATCAGGAACCAGAGAGGACATGCCTCCAATTATATATATAACTGAGCTGGAGGAGGTTTGTGGGTGTGTCTCCCACATACCGAATTTTTGGCTGTTTACTTTCTTGGTAAACTTTGCCCCAAGTTTTTGGGATCTGGCCAAAGGCACAGCAGCAATTTTGGGGTATCTGGAAGTCTGAAGGCACCATCAGGTTCCTGATGCACTCGCCTCACAGGTACAGAGTGACCTGCTGGTGGCACCCTACCCCCGTCCTGCTTTCTTTTGACAATGATTTGCATATAATAAGATTTCTACATCTTTGTTTTCAACTTATGGATGTACTTAAAGCTAATGTATCACTTTCATATTTTGAATATTCCTTTTCTTCTGCCAAAGACTATTTGAGGTACCATGATTTGGAATTCTGTTAATAATAGTTTTACACATAGATCATTACAGTGCTACACCCACAAGCAGGGTGCCTGCTTGGAATATTGTTCTTTTTTTTTTTCCCTTTTTTTTTATTAGTGAAAAACCATGAGGTACAGTTATAGGCTTACAAATTTTGTGCTTGTGTTTCAGTTATACAATGATCAAGTCCCCATCCCTCCACCAGTGCCTGTCATCCATCCCCATGGGTCCCAGCATCCCCCCCTCATCCCCCCCCCCCCATCCTGCCTCTGTGGCAGGGTATTCCCCCTTGTTCTCTCTCTCTTCTTTTGGGTACTGTGTTTTGCAAGAGAGGCTTTGAGTGGCAATCATGTTTGGTCTATCGACTACTTTTAGCATGCTTCTCCCACCCTGGGAGGGCCCTCACAACACCATTCATTTGGTACTCTCTTCTCTATCTGAGCTTCCTTTTCACCTAGAGCCTGTGGCTGGCCTTCCATTCATGGAGCAAAATTCCTGGTACTAATCTCAGCCATTCCTGTGTGTCACTCTCCCTTTTTGTTGCTTTATGTTCCCCAGATGAATGCAATCTTTCTGTGTCTATCCCGCTCTTTCTGACTCATTTCGCTTAACATGATACTTTCCATGTAGTACCACTTGTATGTAAATTTCATAACTTCATCTTTTCTAACAGCTACATAGTACTCCATTGTGTAAATGTACCAAAGTTTCTTTAACCAGTCATCTGTTCTTGGGCACTCAGGTTTTTTCCAGATTCTGGCTATTGTAAAGAGTGCTGCAATGAACAAACAATTGCAGATGTCACTTCGACTATACCTTTTTGCCTCTCTGGGATATATTCCCAGGAGTGCTATAGCTGGGTCAAATGGCAGATCAAATTCTAATTTTTTGAGAGTCGTCCATACTGTTTTCCAAAAGGGTTGGACCAGCCGGCATTCCCACCAGCAGTGAAGGAGGGTCCCTTTCTCGCCACATCCGCGCCAGCACCGGTTGCTTTTGTTCTTGTGGATGTGGACCAGTCTCTGTGGTGTGAAATGATATCTCATTGTGGTTTTGATCTGCATCTCTCTGATGATTAGTGATGTAGAGCATTTTCTCATGTGCCTTTTTGCCATTCGAATTTCTTCTTTGCGAAAGTTTCTGTTCATTTCCTCAGCCCATTTTTTGGTGGGGTTGGGTGATTTCTTCTTGTGGAGTTTAACCAGTACCTTGTATATCCTTGATATCAACCCCTTGTCGGATGTGTACTTGGTGAATATCCTTTCCCATTCTGTAGGCTGTCTTTGT